TTATTTATTAATATAGTTAAGTGATGAAAACTTGAATTTGCATACTTTTGGTAGAAGTGAGATAGTAAATTCCACGTACATTACAAAATTGCATGCGTTTGCATTTTATATTTTTGCTTAAATTTTTTTTTTTTATTAAGAACACACTCATTTAATATGTATATTTACAACTTATAATACCTAAGATGAAACACGTTGGCGTCAGGTTCCTCGTTTTATTATGTTCATGTCTTACAAGATCATTCCTTTTTTTCGTCTATATCAGTTATATATTTTTATTTAGTAAAACAAAATAATTTGAAATGAAATAGTTGAGAACGCAAAAGTACAGTTTACAACATTTCATTCCGTCACTTACGATAAAGATTTAATTCACTCAGTACCTCGTAAGAGAGTAAATGTTACTAAAAATAACGCGTAATGGGTGCTATATAAATTTTTAGAAATTTACAAGGCAGTGTAAAGATAGTCGTTTACAGTTTGAAAAATACGATTGTTTTGTTGATGACTATTTGCTGAAGACCGTTATGAAACGGACATGAAATTTTAATTACTTAATGAGGAACGACTAAAAAAAAGTCATACACATTAACTAAGGCATAAATATATTGTACAAAATAAGGCGGAAGTGATTGGGCCCTTAAAAAATTCATCCACAAAAGCATCCAAATTAAACGAAATTAATTTAGCGTATCCTAATGCTATATACCGTATTGTATATTAAAACGAAATAAAATTGTGTCAATACATGAAATTTTCTGTTAGCTGTAGACTAAAAGAAAAAGGGATCCCATGTAAATCTTAACATGTGAATATTCGTACATTACACAGCTTCCGTATTCACATGTAATAGCGTTCCTGTACATGATTATTGCGTCAAGTCTCACATGGAATGAATTTCACAAACCAAGTAATATAATTACAAATATTTCACATTTTTTTTGTATTATCTTACAAGTTAACTTTTTTTTTTGTATTAATTTATACTGCCGTTTGTTGTTCTGTCTTATTTGTCATTACACAATTACGATTTCCCGTAATACGTGTAATTACGCGTGTTAAAATGTGCATTGGGCGAATGAAATTTGAACGTTTAAATTACTCGAACAGGCTGCAACCGATTATAGCTTCCAATTGACTAGACGTAAGATTACTTAATTTTTCTACCTGATCCCTTTGTTCTTTCAATTTTAGAGATAATCGGTGCAATGGTTTTCTTCTTGTACGTTTCGAATTATATTCACAAGACAAATCAACATGCGCTATTGCTTCTTCCTCATCTTCTTTCTGAGACTCCTCGCTCTCTTCGCTGCTTGGATGAACCTAGAAAACGTAGTGTATTATTTAATTTTATGTTGCGAAAATTATGCTATTTGAATGGTGTGCGTAACAGAAAATGGATGTACCTATGACGACTACATTCGAAAAATATACTACTGTCCACAAATACCCATACGAGATACGATACTTTATGTTAAACTAATTAGTTCTAAAATGATGTACAACACGAGAGTGAATCAAATATCCTAATTTAATGATAATGATATGTACACATGGATTAACAAAATTTAGATCAGATATGCCCTCGGAAGAAATTTACTCACCGATTAATATGCGAAATTAAAAATATTTAGAAGATATTTGTTATGGTTATAAAAATAGCTTTTATATCTTACTCTATTATCGAATTACAAGTTAGAAGTCCAGAGATAATATCAAAAATATACACTCACTTGAACGAACAAACTTAAACAGTACAGTGTTTGTTACTACTTCTCACTATTGCCAATCACATGGAGAGGATGCTGGGAACAGTGAAAAACAATTAAAAAAAAAAGAAAATGGATGGTAAGAAAAAAAAATAATTTCTGTTGATAATAAAAGATATTATAAATTTTGCTTGTTTTTAATTCGATGAATATTTTCTGTCCTTCGAAGAATACATGACTATTGTACATACACTTATGAATTTTCGTTCGCATGCTTAGCACCATCACCGTAATTGTCGATTTTATTCGTTGTTTTGTTTATCCATAACGTAAAGGAACAAAGCTAACACTAGAAACGTAAAATAATGTCGCGCGGAACTTAAGGTACGTAAAATAAAAGGAGACCATATTTTTACATCATCTCTATGTGCAACACTGTGGCCTTTTCGTTACAAACTTTCATCTCACCTCTATTATAGAGACCCTCGGCGACGGTTCCCGGGGAACTGATTTTTCCATAGTTATCAATGGACTGTTGGATCGTGTAGAAGAATATTCTTTGTCTGTTTCAGTATCGTTGTCCGAATAATCTTTCTCGTCTTCGGGCAACGTTCTTTGCATATCCATACTTTCGTGAAACTTGCAAACAAAACCATTTCTTTCGCTCTGTTCAAATAGGTTCCCATCTAAATGCACTATTGACAGGGGTACCACATAATCAGTGACTCGATCAACTTTATACTAAAATGTCAAGTATATTATTTACCTTGACAAAAAGCGGCACAACAAAAGGAGCAATGCGCGGACGTTCTACGACCACACTCTTTGCAGTGATGCCAAGGGCAACTGAATCTTGAATCAGCATCGTCGACGATCACGCAATCTTTATGATACTTCTTACCGCATGTCTTTTGGTCGCAAACTACGAATGCTTCTAACTGTTCAATCGGTTTCCCGCATTTCCAACATAACATACGTCTTCTCGATCTAATCAATTTAATTGTCATTATACAATATTACGTGTTACGTATAATCAGTGCCATTTAAAATAAGCAATTTACCTTTTTTGAAGTTTAATTTTGTCGATTTTTTCAAGCTTTTTCTGCTGAATCGGTGTCGTTACTTGTTGCTTTTGTACTTTTAAACCTATAAACCCGCTACAATTTGACGCACCACACAAACAAGCTTTACGAGTTTCTCCATCGGAAGCTAAATTATAATTGAAAGTCAGTTCTTCGCCAGGCTCAATATCGCATAATGCAAAGAGACCTATGCGCGTGTCCCCGTTCACTGTCCATTTTTGTGTCTCGCAGTTAGGCGAACACGAATGATCTACAATTATCGAAAAATCCGTTTTAGTCTTTGCTCTGTCACTCTTATAAATCTGGCACAGATAAAAGATACCTACTCATAAAACGACTTAAATTGCCTTTTGGTTCCGCATCGATCGTTCTATTATTATCTATAGTTAAAAAGTAAAAATTCTCATTTTTTAACTCCTTTTTCCTACGTAATCTTCGTTTATATTCAGCCTCGTCTATAACTTCGCCAACATATTCGATTACAAACTGTCCAGTTTTAATTGATTCTAAACTTCTAAGACCCCAACCACGTCCTGCAGTATGAAATGGTTCCATAGCTGGATATTGTCTTCGTACAAACGCCTGATTGTTACACTTGGGACCAGCTGGACAAATACCAGGACTACATTCAACTAATAATATTCTGTTAAGGCAGTCTGTTCCTGGTGCACATGGATTGTCCCATTCCGCGTCACAGTCACACGCGACGATACTTTCCACTTCAGTTGGTTTCACATTGCCAACCGGTTTGTTCACCTAACCGATGTAAATTATCAATTATTTTGCATTATGTAGATTCTTAAGTTTCATATAAATTTACCTTTACTTTAACGTAAGGTGCAGGCTTCAATTCTCTTGAGCCATTATCTTTCGACGTAGCTCTTTCAATTTTTAAACGCTGGTGAAGTTGACTGGCTTCTTGCAAAGCTCTACGATAACTACCGTCCCTATTTTTTCTACCTATTGGTGGTTTTATATTTGCATCACCGTCTTGATAAAGAAAAGCACGTCCTCTGCGGGATAGATACCGTTGTGTATATACGTATATAACATCGTTTATCGTATTTAATTTAGCTCAGAGACTAGTTAAGAATTTTATTCACCTATGGACCCAATGGTAGTTATTTGATCCCAAGAACATGACACAAAATTTACCGGGGCTGTGAGGTACAGCTTCTACGTTTTCAGGAATTTCATGAGGATAACAAATACGGGATGGCCACCAACGATAATTACCAAGTTTGACCCACACAACTTCTCCGTACAAAGGCAACCTACCAGTTTCACAATCTTCACAAATAAATGCACCGTCTGGAGCATCAATTCCTAAATTCATGCAATTGTCAATTAATATCATCATCATCATCATCATCATCATCATAATCATAAGATTCGCTATGTAAAAGTGGTATTCGTATTGGTAAAACAGATACCCAAGCATTCAAGATGAAATGACGTCGGACACGTGTCGCAGCAAATAAGACTTCCACCTTTTGTACATAGAAAACACCATGCCGCATTCACCGGAGGCTGCGGTGCTTTGTAATGCTTCGGACAAACTATTTGACTGCCGGTTAAAATTACTGAACCAGCGGGTAAGCAAGTTATAGACGTATGGTAAGACGAAGGACAACGAACACATCGTGCCGATCGTTCACTTGGAGCTCTCGAATGGCTGTCTTGAGGATTATCTGAACTGCATGTATGACATACATGATATGGACACGTTAAACGGCCGCCTTGCCAATGAGACTGATAACAGAAATTTAATAAGTAAGTGACAATATTCCACTTTTTAAATCATATTCACTTAAATATTTGTCATGAAAAAAAAATTACTTGAGGCCACGACATCAGACAGGACGAGTGGTAATGTTTTCCACAGGCCAACACAGAGCACCTTATTCTATCACCTTCCCTTTCGTTACATATAAAGCAAGCAGGTGCGACACCCGACAAACAATCGATACATTTAAACTGTTCATCTTCTTGCTCCTCCGTTTTACCTAGAATTAAAAATAATTTTAACTGAACATGCTACAACATAACGTATATTATATATTATTAAGCGTACATTCTACAACACTAATTTTACCATTGCTCTCATCTTCATCAGCAATACTTTGTTTAATGTCTTTAATATCGTCTAGAATCTTATCATCCATAGTATTCTCATCAATGGAATGTTCCGGACTAGATTCTCCTGGTTTCACACAAGAAAGATGGAAATACGAATAACAAGGACCTTTACATCTAGTCAACTTCCCAGTTTTTTCACATATTTGACAAACTTTTTCTTGTTTCATTCCTTTGAAGAGATTGTAAGGTCTACTCCTTTTTGTTTCTGAAATGCCAGTTTCATCTTTCTCAGGCTTGAGTTTTGATTTTTTATTATTATCCTTAATAGCCGTATCTAAATCTATTGATAATTCGTCCTCATGATCTGATAAATTTTCTTTTGTACTGGCACTGTTACTGTCTGACGCCTGATACGGCCGATATTTTTTTCGAAAAGTAGCACTCATAGTGTCCCAAGTTTTCTTCAAATATTTTTTAATATCATTCTCTGATGCATCCGGGTATGCGTCTTCCATCATGTCTCTGGTACGTTCATAATACACTTCAAATACACCATCCGCGCTCTCTTCGAGTTTATGCTCTTTTTGCGTAACAGAGTTCTCATCGTTAGAGTCTTTCTGATTTAAAGGAGACAACGGAGGAGTATCTGAATGGCTTTTACCGTTTTCAATGTGTTTCGATATTCTTGACCTAACCCTGTCCGTTTTGTCTTGTGACGATTTATCCAGTTCGTCTACCTGCATAAAGGAAGGTAAACATGCTACTTTACCTCTTCACGTAAGATGTTTTGTTAATATACTTACATTGTCTTGTCTAGCTCGTTTAGAATCGGGTCCACTCGAATCACTTGAACTTTTTCTTTTACCAATCTTATCCTTTTCACTCGATACTTTAGGTGATCTATTTCTTGAATGTTTTGGTTTCGGTTTAAAAAGTTCAACACGTTCATCAATGTTCATTGCTTGAACTTCCGTAGCTTCCGCAATCGCGCTTTCCCACTTAGACTTCATACCAGATTTAATGACAAATGCCCCTGCATATCTTGCATCTTTTTTTCTTACTTCTGCGGTTATTGAATCTGATAATTTTTGAAAGTCTTCTAGACTTGTATATGGAATCATGTAATTCGATGAAACCCAACTATGACGCCCTTTGTCGCCGAAGTATCGGACATGTATCATTAGCAACTGTGACCTGCCAGTAGCTAAGTAAACAAATATTTATACATACATATACATTTATATAAATTAAGTCAGTTAGCTTAAAATCATGTAAACACATGTAGACTGCCCAGGTTTAAAATACCCGACTTTACCAGTATATTTTGTGGGTTTCGGTAAGAAAAGATGTTACATACAAACGTAGATTGTTTAACGCATTATTAGAAAATTACAAAGAAAAATATGAAATTTCAAGACTACAGTGATAGACACGATTGCTACGATATTGTGGTGGAATAGATGAGCTATATTTACATTTTCTTTATACTAGTTTGTTTACAGGTTCAATATCCGAGGTCGTTCAAGTTAATAAATTCTGTTAAAACCAATAGTATCTGGACTTCCCATTGGTCTGTCTTACATTATATTATTCTAACATACAGTAATTAAATGAGTATTTAATAAAAATTCATATTAATTTAATAATTTCAAATAGAAATCACAGCTTCCATAAGACTACACGTAAATATCCTGTTCGCTCTGAATTCTATACTTCTGATCATAACTATTTAATAAAACATTAAATAGTTTAGTTGATATAACATATCTTTTCCTATTTAGGAACCCGTACCCGTTGTTGAATAAAATTCGAGATTTTAAACATGGAAATTCTGCATAAAATTGTCCAACTTAAATAATTGCAAGATTGAAACAAATGATTACCTCTATATTTGTAGTATACTCTCGAGACAGGGTCTAATGTTATCACGCAAGGCCAGAAGGGAAAATTACCAACTCGTGCCCATGCTAATTGACCTAATATCCAGCTGCAGTCCACAGGAGGATCAACCAACTTTGGTGTAGTTTCTTCCAATATGCTTAAACTGGTTGAGGAATTGCTTGTGTCCTCTGCGTCATTAGATACATTATTTTCATGTATCCTACCATTAGTACTATCAAATAAATTTTGATACTGATTCTTTGGCACTTTGGAATTCTGCAAATCACACGATATCAACATTATTGTAAGTTATAGTACTCCTAAAGTCTACAGCAATACAATGAAAGTTGTACGAGAGAAAACAACTGTTATAAGGTATATACACACGTGTATGCATATATGCAAATGCATATTATGCAAGCAAAAATTACAACATTAAAGCATTAATGATTTCTACATGAAATATTACAATACATTAACAATGATATTGATCCTTTAATCAGTAAGATTAAGTAAATAATCTTAAAAGGTGGAACGTGCCTTTGGCGAGCTGGCAACCTCATTTTTGGGAGACTTAGGTTTTATGGTCCTGCCATAACGACTTCGACCAGGTAAAATTTTGTTAGTGTTGATGCTCAAATCATTTTTTACATCCTCGAAGTCACAGTTCGTTGTGTCCAAATTCCCACCGCATTCGTCAAATTCTGAGTCAACAGTTATGTCCACCTTGCTGCTTACTCTGTTTATAGTGGTCATCATTTCTCACCTAATTCAGCATTTTCGCTAATCAGGGACAATAGTTATTCGACACTCTTAAATTGTATGTATTTCTTCACCAATTAGCACAATATAAACTTTAGAAACTGAATACAAAGGGCTCGCGTACAGAAAACAATTTTCATTATCGCTGAAAATAGCCGCGATGGCCGATTTTCAAGGGTTACTTTATTTCTTCAAGGGACAGCAGGTACTTTTCCTGAGCACACAGAAGTCGACGCGTACTACGCGTGAGCTACCAAAAAAAGTAATTCAATGTCCCATAAACAATAACCCTGCTTAATATGTAGAATTTGCAACTCAACCTCACGGGTCTCTGACCAGGAACAGGACGCGTTTCCCGCGATTTCGGGTGATTCTCAAAGCCATGCTTTAGTTTAATTTTTCACTATACCTAATGTTTGGTGATTTTTGTTTTTATCGGTTATTTTTGATGATCTATCATCTTTGATTTCCAAGATAATCGATGTTTATGTTTATAATCATTATGTATGTATGATTATACGCTCAAATACGCTGGTGTAAGTTATTCTGTTTATTACAAAATGAATCGTTTCATGAATAAACTTGACTACGGCTACGATTAAATTTCTACACGTACAACGTTGTGTGTGTGTGTGTGTGTGTGTGTGTGCGTGTGCGCGCGCGCGCGCGCGCGCGTGCGTGTATAAATGAACATTGAATACCGTATACAATTTATGCTTCATTGAAAGTTTTAAATGAATTATATACATAAGGAAAATTGACATTGAAATTTATTTGAAAAATCTAGCAACACAATGCTCTTTAGCATTTATGTCATGAATTTTGCGTAGTCCATATTGACGTACCATACTTTCCAATTCCTTCACGAAATTTTGTAAACTTTCATCTCTTAATTCTATTAAATTCTTTGGTAATTCTACCAACATGATTCCTCCTTTCTTAAGTGAAGATACAAAATTGGGTATTTGTTCGGTCATATTATAAGCTACCCAAATAAATTCAAATTTACTATCATATTCTGATTTTCGCTTAAAAACTTCTAAAAACGCCACAGGATGAAAGATTATCTGAAAATATAACTTATGCAATAGAGTTGAAAAAATGTTATATTATAAGTAAAATTCAAAAGAAAATATTCCAATACTTTATGATTTTCAATATCTGTCCAAGATGCTTTATGTTTTCTATGTCTGTTCCCCTTTGTTTTCCATGATTCTTGTTCCATTTCTGTGCCAGGTGATTCAATTACTAATGTACCATTTAATAAAGAGGAATCTCTATGGGATGCAATAAGATCTTCACATATTGGTTCCCGAGTTCTAATTTCATGTATACTTCTCATAATCTCTCGCTCAGCTACATCAGTCGCTCTCCATTTACTGTGTGTGTGTGGTTTTTTTTTAAATATAGTTCTATTCATGATACGATGATATAAAGAAATCTTTGAACGGATCCTACTTATCCTTTGTATCTCCTAATGTCCAGGAGAAGAAAGGACCATTTGTAATATCTCCTAAATACGCATAGTGTAAAAACCCTGGTCCATACTGTATTATATTATTTAATAATGTGGGATTGCTTCTAATTGGTTCACCTTCTAACCATGTAAATGCAATCCCACTATTTCTCCAAAATCTAATATTGGGACAACATAAATTAAATCATGTAAATATTCACATGTTAACATTGATAAGAAATATTTTGCAGTTAAAAGGCATACCTATATTCCTGTAACGTTAAGTTCGAAACATTTCTGGACTTCAAAATCATATGATAATCCCAATCGAAGACACCTTCCCTATAATCATATCTTGTCTTCAACGATCTCCTAATTCTTTTATCCCAATAATCCACAATAGGAATATTCTCACGTGTTGCACGTTCCCAAAATCTTACAGGATATGGATGATTAATCAATGGTAATGTGAAAGACAGTAAAGAAGGTAAAGTTTGAAATCCTTTAAGAAGACTCACTTGAAAATTGCTTCTAATCGATCTTTATCTCTACGTTTCAAGTGTTCCAAATTTAACCAAGGACAGTCAATTGTATTTGTAGGTATATCCACTAATTGATTGATGCATCTGATCAAATATTTACCTGTAGCAGGTCTTACCAATGTGTTCCCAAATATCTCTAAGTAATAACGAGTTGCCTCTTGCAGTCCTTCGATAAATTTCATTTTTTTATTTCGTTCGATTCCGTATTAAGAAGGGAAAAGATTTCTCTGAATCTTTTATACATACCCAAATCCGGTTCTAAACAAATATTCAATAAAACAATAGATCTGGCAACTTGTTCCAATGTTGGCTCAATTATGTTATACAAAATAATACGATCGCGGTGCAAATAAGATGATGCTATTGTCTTCAAGACATGTCTTGCATCACCAGCACCTACGAGTAATACGTCGAGAGATTCATCTGAACTGTTGACTTCATATTTATTAATTTCGAACTGTATATCCAATGCAGGACTGTATCCCCACCACATATTGTTATTGTTATACTATTTCTGCATTGCACATTTAATCCGAAATAACAAACTGTTGTTGCCATAGCAACAAGCACGCTTCGGCATCATTCCTACTTTCTCCGGAAGAGTACTTTGTGAAAAATAAGATTATTCAATTTGATTAATTTTCACGAGCATAATCAATTGATGGGTACAATGTTTCAGACAATCCCAGATCTTCCTCTTACACTGTAAAACAGTTTTAATGTGGATGATGAATATGAATTTATACATGTAAAATTCTAATACCTATTGTATAAAAAATAAAGTCAGAGATTTGTGTAATAAAACTATAAACATGTTAGTGACAGTTGTCTCATAGACTTATAAAACCATTTATTTTACTCCTATAATATAGATTCTGTGAAACAGATAAAAATAACTCCTCCTCGATCTTTGCTTACGCAAAGATTTCTTATAGACATATTCGCGTTAATCCATTATGCAAATTGGCTCATTTGTCTCTCTTTTTTTGAGCTCGTTTATTGCCGCACCGTTGTAAAATATCTGTAATAGGTCCTTTATGTTGAAATATAGCAATAAGCTGCGTACGCGCTTCATTCATTCCTTCACTAATTAAACTACTACGTTGCATATTCCCTTTAATCAATTCATTGACACGTTCCAGACCATCGTCTTGTCTATTTCTGACATTTTGTTGTGATTCGAGCATAGTCAGGGTCGTTTTCAATTTTTCGTGTACCTGTACACACATTAATTCACAAGTTTCACATGAGTAAATATTATATCGTATAAATACACGTCACACAGTGAATTGAAACTTACTTGTTTCTCGAGGTCAGCGATATCTTCCATTTGTGCAGTGAGGTGGTATACTTTCCAGCCATTTAGTTTCTGTAATACATGTTTCTGTTGGGCTATTTCTGCAACTGTGGGTCGCCTTTCCTCACGAGGCCGAACCTCGCTTGGCCTTCTGTAATGATGAAGTCTACTACCCCACCTATTCTTCCAAGAAGGACCTGTACATTCCGTAGTAATTACTTTCAACATATATTTTAATAACCATTTTATTTTTATATTATATTTCATTCACCAACCTAATAGACTAGGCGTAGGTCGTGCTCGTATCGCAACTGTTGGTTGTTGGGCAGGAGATTTAACAATGTCGCATTGCAAATTCGACGCTTGTTTTTTCTCCGACAATTTCTCCTTCGGTTCTTCCTTAAGCTCTTTTTTCACTCTATCTTCGGTGATGAACTGCATTTCTTCTTCCGTACACCGTGACTCCGTCAACTCTACTCCAGTAAGTTGTTGCTTCCGAGGCTTTTTCCGTGGTGACATTTCGACTGTTGGATTTATAGTAATTCTGGATTGCTCTGGTTCCTCGTCAAGTCCAGGTGACGATGTTGCTGAAACCGTAGTAGATCCAGAACTCTGACAACCTCCACCATCTTGGTCTCCTCTCGGTGAACACGGTGGACTGGACGTTGTCACAGGAGGTAAAGATGCGAGCACAGGAACTAAATTCTTTGCCGTACCTAAAAATTCAATGCCATTTCATTAACCCTCGCGTCGAATGAGATGAAATAAAAAATAAATTGAATAGAAAACGTCGTACACATAATACCATCTAGTTTCCTACCTTTGATAGGTGAATTATCATGATCTCTTTTCCGAAGTATACTTGGTCTTGGAGAAGCATTTGTTTTAGTGTGAGGTTCTTCGTATCCAGGTTCGACGAGTAATCTTATTGGAGTTTGACGATATTGAGTATACGTTCCTGTAACTATCATTAAATAAAATGTGTTTTGTAGACATCAGTAATAATAGTAAAAATTACCTGTGGGCTCGAAAGAATAATAGGTAGCAGTATGTGGAGGGTGCAAATATTGCCCTTGTACTGGTTGAGTAGGCGTTGTATTCGAATTATTGTTTGTACTGCTGGCCGGAGAAACTCGAAACGCAGATGGTTGAGTGGGCTTAATTTGAACAGTTTGTCCTATACCTTGTGGTTGTACCGTTTTAGCAGGCGCCGATGTAACTCTCGCAGGTGCTAAGGGTAAAGGATGCACAGACATTCCAGTAATTCTAGCAACAGTCGTTGATGTAGGCTGCGATATTCGTGTTGTATTTGATGTACTTGCTGTTGTAGCAATTACACGTGACACTGTGTTAAGACTCGACAAGGAAGTCACTGTCTGTACAACTCGAGGCGCTGCCTGTGATTGTGATTGCGGCTGTTGCTGTTGCTGCGGTTGCTGCTGCTGCTGCTGCTGCTGCTGCTGCTGCTGCTGCTGCTGCTGCTGCTGCTGCTGCTGTTGTTGTTGTTGTTGTTGTTGTTGTTGTTGTTGTTGTGATTGTTGTATCTATTATATGATCAACTTTGTTCATATTCGACTAATACAGAGATGCTCTACGCAATGATGGACAGAACTAAGTGGTTGTATACTTACTTGTTGAGAAGGAATTACGATCCTGTTAACAGTACCAGTTGACGGAGTAGCAACGGTATTAATCGATAATTGTCTCCCGACTGTTTGTTGAACGGTAACTGCAGCAGGAGCAGTCACTCTATTGGCGGTTCCAACAACAGGTGCCGATACAGCTATACGATTCACAATGCCAGTGGTATTAAGAGATCTACTTGGTTGATTAGGCTAAAATATGAATTTAGTTTTAGTTACCTTCACCTAAATGTTGCATTACTTTGGGAACATTATAATTTGTATCTCATCACCATGTTACAATAACTTACTTGAATTGATTGAGTCGAAGATCTACCAGTTTGTGCCGTTTGTGATATATTCGATACCTGGGGAGCAGATGGTCTGCTTTGTGAAACTGGTAATCTGGTAATACTATTGTTTGCTTGAAGAACAGGCGCTATCAATCTGGAGGGAGTGCCAGGAACTCCAGTAACCATCGTAGCTTGCACAGATCTCCCTTGATTCGTAGGTGTAATTAAACGAGGTTGTTGACCGGTATACACCGACGACGGTGGCCTTGAAATTCGACTGACCGGAGGTGCTGTATGCCTCTGTGGTTGCGCGTACACCATTGGCGTTGTCTTAGGTTGCCACTGAGAATTTGGGATAGTTGTATTTCTAAAATATGAAACGTCGATTGTACCCACTTGTACGGATATTAAGATACTAGCAGCGCGTTAATCTTGAAATGATTCTATCTCAAGAGATATGTTTATACCCTGCTCTGGTAGTAGGTATGGCTTGTCCTGTATTAGCTCTAACAATAGGAGTAGCCACTGTCGATCTTGGGGCAGATATATTAGCAACTGCAGCTGGTCCCCTGGGTACATGATACGTTGCTGGTATGCTTGTCACCTGCTGTGCCTGTTGTAATAGCTGCTGAGGTTGTGGTTGATTTTGACGTTCCATTGTATTTAACATACCTGGAGATATTATTCTTACCGTAGAGCCCACTGGACAGATCTGTGAAGGAATAGTCGCCAATCTCTTATACTTGCGTAAAAATTTATAAAAATAATTGTCATTTATTCGACGACTCATTTACGAGTTATAATTATCAATTACCGTTGTGGTTATTTTATTTGTTTCTGAAGTAGACGTAGTGCCAGAAGGCACTACAGGTTTCATAACAGGTAATTTCGGATTTATATCCATTGTCATTGATTTACCTACAAGACTAGTAGGTGTTCCAACTGAACCCACTATAGGCTGCGTTGATTGAATATTTTGCATATTACTTTGAACGATACTCTGCACATTTTGCATACTTGATATAGTAGTTAAATTCTGTACTATGCTTTGTACAGTTGTTTCTGGTACACGTTTATCACCGCCACTGTTGACTGAACTTAATGCTGTATTCATGTCGATATTCCTGTAAATTAATCACTTCTTATAATAAGGAACACACATTAATAATATCTACACATACGTATTAAAAGAGATATTTTTTGGATTGTGTTTGATTAACTTTTAATTGCTATTTTTTTTTTCATAATAATCGTTCCCCTTTTTATTCATTGTTAAATATTACTACGCCGAAAGTAGTCAATATTGTAAAAGAAACTTGAAGAATTTTAAACGAATTTGAAGGTTACCTAATTTTCAACAACTCTACAGTGTAAGTAGCCACAATCGAAACGGTAACAGTACTACGAAATCTATAATATTAACAGATAAATAGGTTTGTCACGTAATAAAAACCGATACAATTTTGTCTGAAACTGACAGCAATCAGTACTTTCTGCAAATATCATGATAAATGTACGCGTATATACCTTTACAGAAACGTAACGCTGCGAGACCATTACCGATTTACTATTTGAACACGCATGTGTAACATTTCTAAAATACTTTTGTTTCATTTATACTTCTTGAGAAAAACATTTTATAATCCAAATATACTGGTAACAGGTTCATCACATCACTGCAAAGTTTATAGCGCCTAATGTAAGCACAATACAGTGCAGGTAAATTGTCATAACAGACTTATATGTCTATGCATATGTACAAATTGTACGTACATATGTGATGTATATATACATACATAAATTTGTTAGGAACATTTCATTTTACATCTAAATATATCGCGTGTGTACGTTACATAAAATAACTGGAGCGCCTATAACCTTTTACAAAATCGAGTAATGAAGATTACGCATCATTACTACGTTTTATTGTGAAAAAATTACTTTCATAACAAAGAGAGTATTCCTATATGAAAAATATGTTTTTCTACATTATTCTGAAACATTTATGATCCCTTTCCATCGTACGGGAATCCATAAAGGAGAAGTCGGGAACTGAACCAATCCGAACACTTCCTCTCTTATTCCCCTACCCACTATTCCGGCTGCAATTCCATTTTCAAACGCATCATTCCACTACACATTCTGTCTCGTGATTCCGCTGTCGGTTAAGCTCGTGCGCTTCCTTTCTCATCGAATTTTCACCAAGATATGTATTCAAGTAGTTAACGTCCCACACGTTTCACCAAATTTAAACGTTCACGTATTTGAAAATTAGAAGAAACCGAATTTGTTTGATGGCCTTAGATGGGTTTGAATTCAGTCCACGTTTTATAATTTTATTCGTGACTAGATCCACACTCATCCAAGGAAATCAAGCCAAGCCGATGTTCGGAGTGAGTTAATCTTTAAGAGTAAATGCCTTTCTTGAAACTACGAATGCAACTCGTAAGTTGTTTTCAATCAATTTTGTGCTTTGCCATAGACGCGATTCATGGAAAATTACAGGCTATACGAAGCAAGTGAATAAATCAAAACATTTCTTTCACGTTATTCCAAGTATTTAGTGTGGTGATGAAAAAAAGTTCTTCGTTGTTTTGTTATGTTGCGTTGATGTGTTATGTTAAAACAAATCTGGATTAACGCTGTTAATGCATTATGTGTGTCATCGTATTAAAATTATTTTTATGCGTAAGCTGTACTTATATGAAATTGATAAAATACATGAGAAGTTTTGAATTCCAAGCGAATCACTACAAGATTTCGTTCAGTTTCTTTGTGTACGAACACCTGCCGTGTTTCCCCTCCAATGATCTCCCTCTTTTCATCGGTAGCAAGATAATCATGCTGCCCCTATTCCCCTCTTGCTCTATCTTTTTCTCTCTTATTCGAATCATCCTTCCGAAGTAACGGTAAAAACTTGTCTTTACCCTCTTGAAGATTGTTTTTACATTTGAATCAAGAATACGAGTATAGATAGGGCTTACACACTGTCCAAAGCCTTATTTTATTTTTCTCTCTTCAAATTCTCCATGCATATAACTTTGGTTATCGCAAATAGACGTTTTTTAATAAACGTCCAACCCGTCCAACCTTTTACCGCTGTATAATAATAATTAAACATGATATAAAAAAATATGTGTAATATATATATATATATATATTATATTGTATTTGTATTTACATTATTATATATTGTTATAAAAATCATTCTTAGCTTAAAAATAAAGTGAGTAAAAGTAAACAAGTACTTTTGGGAGTATGATAGATTTTTGGTAAGTCTACTAATTGTACATCATAAATAAAAGGCATCATAAATTTTATATTATGGAATAGAGTGGGAATTATCTTTTCGTGCAGTATCTACAATTTACATCAAGTATTTTGAGATTCTAGGCTTAGTTGTGCTATACGGGTATGTTCATCTTGATTTTCTTCATCGTAACACAGATCAGGATTTGACCGCATTTCCTCTATTGCTCGTTTAATTTGAAGTTGTAATTTGCCAGCGACTTTACGTACCGCCACGTGATTTTGTTTTATTTGAGTTATAGATGAGAGTAAATCTTTCCACGGCGCAACACTTGTATGAGCAAGATAAAGTTCCTTCCATAATTGAATACTAAGAGGTGCAACGCTTGGCCAAATAACCCCGGAGTTCGGTTCGTATAATGGATTCAACCATTTCTCTAATACTTCTGGTCGATTTATGTACGACCATAAGCTACATGTTCTCTCAGATAATCGAAGCTTAACTCTCTCCGCTTCTGAATCGCCTGTAAATTTCGTTTAAATATTATTTAAATAAGAAGTATATTAAAATTATGAAAGTGCAAGAGCGATGTTATTGTGTATAAATACCTAAAAACGTTCCATAATCGGAACAATACGCATGATTGTACAATTCAATTAACAAATCGACTGTATATTCAAAGCTATATTGAAATTGGTAGTGAAGTTGATAAAGACAATCGAGAAATAGAAGAAAAGTCGGGGCATGCGTTAAACTGCTCTGCGAGTTCGATGGATGGTACGGTCCGTGGCGTGTGCGACTGAAAAACTGATGTCCAGCTTGTATCCATTCGCGTTCGATTAAAGCTTGAAGGCCACGCACAGTTCTGCAGTCTGGATTCAATATTGTTTGTGCTAGGCTCGTTACAACTAGAGTAGAATCTCTGCCAGTGCTTCCTGTTCAACGTTTAACGAAATCTTCACGTATTATCGTTATAATCGACGCAAATGTACTTTATCAGTCATTTTATAAATATTGTGTAGATACCATGAACTAGCACTGCTGCTACTTCTTGGTGGAGACATTGAGCAGTTACACAAGCGGCATTTAAAGCGCTTTGCACAGCGGATAACCATCCACTATTATCAAGTCTTGAGATCCACTGGGAAGTAGAACACGTTATGTCATTACAAGCCTCTATCAATTTAAAAAAACTATCGGCTAAATCGTGTGGTCGTGGAACTGTTTTATGTACTTTCCGCCACTGCGGATAAGCAGCATCAATTTCTGTACCACCACCCCTGGCTCTGGAACTTTGAGCTTGGCTAATGGACCTTGTATCTATTATATAACTATCGACAAACTTTATATTAGTAAACGATTAGATCGAACAGATACAATTTTAATAATACTTTCAACTAGTACAATCAGATACCAAAGTATTATAATTGTGTTAACAAAAATATTCCATTTACCCACGTCGTCCTGGTCCTAACACTGCATTCAACAACCTCTCATCCTCTTTACATCTTTTACCGTTAGTACCACACATTGGTTGACTACTTCTTAATAAAATACTCTGCAACAGTAATTAATCAATCGTTTATCAACTATAAGCATATGTGTCCAATGGACTGTTTTATTCTCTTTAGTAATGCACTATTATGTACCCCTCCTTCGTGTCTATAGCATAAAGCAGGAAATCTTCCACCATCTCTAAAATTGGCAGATGATATTATCACTTTATCTTCTACATGCTGTGGTACTATAACAGCCGACGGATAAGAATCACAAACTTTGTAATCTTTATTTAAGTAACTAATGCGCCATTCGTCTGCATGAGCAGTTAATAATTTTGACCATTCGGATACTGGAATAAATGCAGTCCATCCATCTTCTATAGGCGCCGCAATATTACTAGTTGTTTGTGGTTTATGAAAGAAGGGATACTGTAAAGTTTGTTCTAGAATAAACAGAAAAATAACGAATAGTTAATGCCAATGTGAGTCAATAAAATTTTATGTAAAACGACGTAATGTAAGTTTACCTTGCGATGTTAACTTTTCTATAGACAACACAACATTTGTCAAGTCATCTGCTGAATTAATATCTAACTGGAGTATACGGAAATCCTTACATTTCAATATAATACTACCCCCTGAATTTGGAGTATTCAACTTTTTCTCTATAAGATCAATTTTTCGATATAATAACTGAAAAATGTCAACATGCAAGATTTAGTACCACAAAAAGTAATGTTTGATATAAAAATAATTTTGTTTATGAATTCATACCCAAAGCTCTTGATCATTGCCTTGCCGCGAAGACCAGAGTAGATGATGAATACTAATGCACAGTGTTCCATCAATAGTTTTACTACTTCCATCACTCTTATCAATTAATGCAACATTATCGAGTTTAGGAATTAATATTAAGTCGCCAAGTTCCATTATATATTTCGATCAACGATTGTCAATGTTGATTACTTGCAATGTTTTTCAAAGCGTTATATGTTTTGACAGATGTACATAACCTAATGTCAGAATCTCCCGTAATTATCACTGAAAAATTAAAAATTGACGAATCAAAATTATAGACACGTCTGCGAATCGTAAAGGAATGCTTATCACTTAATCAGGTCTTGTAAAAAACATTTACATTCAATACGGACACTAACATACATCCGAAGATTAAATGATTTATCTATAGCTTCCAGCCATTGCGATGAAAGATATGTTGAGATATGTGTATCTACAGGTATATGTAACCTAATGTAAGTTGTAAATTGGTACGAGTGAATGCATTCCTCAAATATTCTTCTCTTTATACATATAAATTCGATCAGTTCGTATTCAGATGCTGCAAGAAGTAAATTAGAAATCCTTAAACTCGTGTATATAGCAATTTGACAACACATAATGCATTTCTTCTAAAACTTGTTATTCTTTATTGTAAATATCGATATATTTCATTTTTAAGATTTGTAATAGTTCTAAAAAGCATACAAATGTATTCCTCCCCTCCTTAACGATAAAATATGCGTGGGTCCTAGCCATTATAATTATTCGTGATATTATACTGTTCCGCTTGGAGTATGATGACTTTATATTACTTCTGCAACTTGTTGCAATGTTACGTGTCGTAATTGGCTAATTGTTAAAATGAATATTAATTTTGGCATGTCGTAAGTGCTGAAATATCAACCGTCTCTTCTCCAATTCGTTCTCTTGTTGTTGTATTATTGTTACCTTGTTACCTTCCGGAGCCATGCCATCCGGATTTACCTCCTTCTACTTCTACTCGTTTCTGCTCGTTTCTGACAGGCTCTTCCCCACCACGGTATATATATATATATATATGTATTGCAATTGCATATGTATGTGTTACATACGTCTAACCCAGCGTGCTCATATTTTTTCCCTCGGCCGAAAAGTGGGGACGACGCGACCATGGTGGGGACCAATAGTTGGTGGGGGTATGCAGTGATTTTCACGGTAGCGCTGCGGAGAGCTTCGCGAACGCGCATGAGCACGCATGAGGGGAATAATAGTGGGGATCGAAATACGGGCGAAAAAGAGGGGAAGCGAGCCTCCAGGGAAAAAATATGAGCACGCTGGTCTAACCTAACCTATTGCGTAACGTAATAACCTGAAAGAAACGATGAAAGACCATGTATACTTCAATTTATTATTCACCGAGCGTAGTCGTACAATGACATGGTCAGACTGGCTATTAAACAATACGGAAATATTATTGTTTTGTATTTTCATTCTCATATAGTATATTCAGCAAGCACAGAATGCGTTAACTTTTCTTGAGTACAGCGGAACAGCATTAAAACATATTTTAACGAGGAATACCTTAGGTTTAGAAGTACCAGTTTGTCAAAATTTTAATAGACGATTCATATGGAAGTGCGTATAGATATATGTATCTGATTTTTATCTGATTTTACATTTGAATCTCTCTGTAAATGCATTTAAAGATATCTAACCTATTTTTAAACTAATAAAACAAAAAGCGGATCATTCTGGATGTCTTGAATCATAGAGCATATGCGTATTTGCATAAAATTTGCACGTAGGTATGTATAATAAACATAAGTATCACTGGATCGCAATATTAAACAAACATTAAATTTTAAAACATCACATGATTTTTTTCTAGAGATTTATGTCAGTTAAAACCGACAGATGGAGATACCAGCGGCGCGAAGCCCGCTGTCGGTAGAGGGGTGAGGAGAGAACGAATGTTCACGCTTTTGATGCAATGTCGTGTTAGTAAGTGTGAGCTGCTGTTATATTTGCTTATCCCTATCGACTGCGATTTCCATTTGAAGGGATTATTACGTTGAACGTGCTGAAAAATTGTACAGGATCCTTTGAATACGTCTGAATATCTACGTTTATGTACAGCTTTAATACATGGTAATTGCTTTGTATGTGTACATATTATAGTGTAGGATATAGCTTGAAGCCCCTGTGCACAGCTTGTTGTTGTATATTTCACAATGTTATTATTAATCAATATGCAGTATATATTTGTTAAACAATACTTATTGCTCTTAAGCAGAACATGGTTTACTTAATTAGAAGTTCATATATTGATCATTCAAAGAATGTCTTCCCATTCTGTTTCTTTAATACAATGTGTTATATTGAATTGTGTTGCCTCAAGAATTGTTGAGTTTAACATATGTACAATGTAATCAGTAATAAATTTTAATTAACTTGTTTTCAATATTATGTTTAATAAAGCATATAGTCAGCTAAATGTATGCAATCAATCAAAATGACATCGGTAGAGGTACAGAAGACTATTGTGAATTCCTCACAATTAGAAAGTTCAGTTGTATCTGAATCACAAGAGATAGTAGAGTCTGTAATCAATAAAGAAGAACAAGAGTCCATTGAGAATGTTAACAAGAAAAAAAGTAAAACTACTATTAAGGATAACAGTAACAGTGCAATGCAAGGTGGAAATGAGCAAAATAAAAATAAAAGTGAAGATGTGATTATATTGGATTATGATGAAGTTACATGTAATATAAATAAAACAGAATGTGAAAAGAATACAGGGAAGTTAGAGATAATATCTTCTGCTTCTGAAAGTGATCCTAAGATGATTAGAAATGAGAAGAAAAAAGAAAGTCCACCTAAAAGTGAAAATGCCTTAAGACGAACAAGACGAAGTTTGGTGTAGGTATTCATTGATTAAAATTCATCAAAGAAACTTAGCAGGATTATTAGTATTCTGTATGGTATGAAGACCAATTAGAGGTCAACCTTTTTTCCAGCGTACAAGAAGGAGATTTATCTTCAGAAGACAATAGTCCGAGAAGTAAGCGCAAGAAAAAAAATACGATCGATAGATTCTGTTGGCGTTGTCACAAGGAGTCTGTAGAAGCGCATTGTAGCGCTTGTCCTAGATCATGGCATCGCAAATGCATAGGAATGCAACAATCGACTATTCACAATTGGATATGCGGAGAATGCGCAGCCATTTTGCGTGCAGATAATGCAGAAACGCGTTCTACGGCTATGTCGCAATTATCTATCGATCAGTTATGTTTATTGTTGAAGCATGTGGTCTCGAGAATGAAGGAGCAGTCTGGTGTACGCATGAATTTTTATTTCTATTCGTGTATCATCTTCAACGAAGTTGAATTTAAGTTTTCGGTTCTAGTCAGAGCCATTTTGGAAACCAGTAGAGCTTTCTGATGCTCCGAACTACCTAGATTATGTAGTGAAACCAATGGATTTAAGCCTCTTGGAATCGAACGTTAAGGCTAAATTATATGGTAGCACAGATGCATTTATGGCTGATGCTAAATGGATACAACACAACTGTATTGTGTTTAATACATGTAGGTATACGGCGAATATAAATTTATTTCAAGTACATCTTAACGACAGTAAGGAAGATAATATTAATTGACATTTAACTTGAATTACATAGGCGGCGGGGTTTATACGGATACATCAAGATTGACAAATGCTGCCAAACAGATCATTAAATTTGCACGTCAGGAGGTATCGGAGATCGAAGCGTGTCCTGATTGTTACGCTCACAGTAGAAACTTACCAAGGCCACAACCATCGTGGTTTATCGAACCATGTCGTCGTCCACATCCACTCGTGTGGGCTAAATTGAAAGGATTTCCGTTCTGGCCTGCAAAAGCTATGCCTCGTGTAAATACTCAAGGTTTTGTGGACGTACGGTTTTTCGGTGAACATGACCGAGCATGGGTTCCGCCACGAGATTTGTATTTATACTCCGAAGAACCGCCTGTTCCGTTACCACGAAAGAGAAAGTTAGATATGGAAGAATGCGTTCAAGAAATTACTCGACATTGTCGAAAGCTCGAGCTCGTGTTCGGACAATTTAAATTTGCGCCTCCTAGAGTGCAATACAATCCACATGATCCGACGCAAATAAAATTAATGTTACCGAATTACGATCTCGATCAGCCCATTAACTGCACATCCCCAGAGATTATTAGTTGGAAGTACAATACGGTTCTGAAGAAGCGTCCTCATGTTAAAACAAGGACACAAAGTGATTCAGAGAAAGCGGATAATTCTGATATTGAAAATAAAGTATCAGACGAAACTAACTTGGGTAAGGAACAAAACAAAGCTGAAAACAAACAATTAGAAGTACGAGAATCAAATAACTTACATGCATTCGATTCAATCACAATGCCGATTAGTGATACGAGTGAATTAGTTGAGAAACCAAGCAAAGAGTCTATGCAAAACGATAAAAAGGAATCAGAAGCCGGGCAAGAAAACACGAAAGAAGAAGAAATAAAGCCAAGTACAAGTAAAACTACTACTACTACTACTACTACTACTGCTAGTAGCGCTACAAACAACTTAACAGGTAAAGATAGTAATGCCACAAAACAAAGTACGAACGGGTCGAATTATGTAACAGAAGGAAATAACAACATTGAAAATGTAATGATTCGTGATACAAAATCTGCGGGAAACTTATTGAAGCAAGAGAAATCTCCGATAATATCCGTAAGAAATGATGTTAAAGCGTCCAAAAAGGAATCGCCCATTAAATATAAAGGGAATGTCAGTAAAATTTCGATAACTTCACAGAAGAATAATCTTAAGGGTGTTAAAAATGTAGGGAAAATTTATAAACCAAAAACTAGGATAGTCGATAAAGTGAATGCTGAGCATGTCTTAAGATCTATCGTGAACGAACAAAGTAAGAAAGTGAAGACGCCTACCAAGATTTCCGTTAAACAGAATAACTCACTGAAAGATAACGCTAAAATACATATCAATAGTCCAACAGTTTCAATTAAATCTGTCCCTACAGACAAAGTAGAAATGGATAACGATATTAGTGATGACATTAAGAATGATAATGTTAACGGTCATAAAAAAAGTGCTACGGATCAACCTGCCTATTTATTTTTCGTTAGAACCGACGGTATACGTAACATGAAAAAATCTACCGGTAACTTGATTAGCGATAAAGAGAAAAATAAAGAATCATCATATGACCAGATAAAAGAAAGTAAAGCTCGAAAGACATTTTCTAATAAATCTCGTAATTGCCCGCAACTTATTCCAAACGCGCTATCTACTACGATGGATGCCGCCGTGAGTTACGTGCCTACTACTCATGAAATAGAGAATCGCGTCGAATACAACATGCTACCACCGGAAGCAGGACCCATTAGTGCCCGTTTGTATTACGATGCACAAGATTTAGCCAAAAAAATGGCTAAACTAATGGAAGAAGCGTATAAAGAAGCGGCGCAAGAGAGTCAACATGGTGAAAGTGATAACATGTCTGAAAATCATCAAGCAACTGTTCATTTCCTAAGATTACAGATAGAACGTATGAGATGGCAACATCAGCAACAATTAGCTGAATTAAAACACAATACTGGTATGTCCGGATACTGTGTTTGCGTCCGTTGTTTATTACATTAAAGTTTTCTATTCCAGATAGAATATTAAAAGAAATGAAGGCGAGTTTAGAAGCTGAACGATTACGTGCCATCGAAGAAACACGTAGAGAAACTGAAGAAGAAAAGCAACGTTGTATCGATGAAATCAAACGTAAGCAATGGTGCGCAGTGTGTCGTCGAGAAGCATTATTTTATTGTTGTTGGAACACTGCTTATTGCGATTATCCTTGTCAACAAACGCATTGGCCGATTCATATGAGAACGTGCGCTCAGAAACCTTCGTTTACCACTATCGTTACCAGTTCCACTCCGAATTCGAATCAACAGCAGGTGATGCCCAGCCTTATGATAAATACACAGCATGTGACGACGAACATGTGGAGGGCCTAGAGCACATTGGTGTAAGTCCCTGAAAAAAACAAAAGTTTATACATTGGATTATAAATAGTTGATCGCTAAACTTTAGCAATACTGTTACACGTTTTATTTCATTAATTTTCACAATTTACGTTTAATACATAAGTGTTTATTGTTACAGCGTTAGAATAGAAGTAGTACTTTATACGTAAATTTTTGTATTGTAAAAATGCAAATAAAAATCATGTACTCGTGGGCTAATACTGGCTTTAACAATTACTTTGTATAAAAACGACCAATCTTGTTTTATGTATTAATTAACGATGATGTCTTGTATGCATTTGGGTATGTATCTTCTATTGCATGCTTCAATCGAAACAAAAAATTTAAATAGAAATTATAAGAATTATAATGTTTCAACTTACAC